TGAACATACTGTACAGAGGGGTTACAATTACATGGGCAGGATAATGCGTACATTTCTTACCAAGCATTGCAGCCTCCTCCTTTGGTTTACCCTTCACATCCCTTCCCAGCCTCCCCCCTCCCTGCTCAATTCTTTTTACAGTTGTATACTTTACCCATTCTTAATCTACATAACCAAATGGACATCCTAAGAAAACAAGGTGAAAACAGAAATGCTACAATGTCAAAATGTTCACTTCTTTGAAGGCAAAGCCTAGCAATGTGGTAACTGTTCATACTTTGCACTTAGGAAATTTTTGAATAATATTTGTGCTGTAAATTATATGGATATCTCACAATCCCCCAACAGCAAGATACATACATCTGTGTATATATGTATTCATATGTGTGTGTATATATGTATGTATGTATGTATGTATATATATATGTGTATATATATATATATATATATATGCACTCTGCCTTATTCCAAGGAAAAGCATTTAAAAATCATAAAATACAGAAAAAAGAGGATGTGGTCATTAATTAATATACTGGGATATAAGTGTGTCTGAAGTCATTTTTGCCAGTATAAAAAAATGCTGCAATTTTTCCAGTAAGCTCCTAGCTGGCTCTCTTTCCTCTCAGATTTGACTCTGCTTTTCTTAGCTGTGAGTGTGGACTAAAGAAGAGATGAGTAGATACTGCTATTCCCATTTAAGGATGATGAGCAACTGTCATTTATTTAAGATCATACAACTAGTATATTCCTGATTTCAAAGTCTGCCTTCATTCTGTCATGCCAGGTGTCCGACATCTAACAAAGGCACTAAGAAGAGCCAGTCACTGCAGCCCTTAGACACCTAGATTACCACAATTACTTCTTATGTAGGTAAGCTTTTGTTGACATCAGAACTTTTTCTCAAACAATTGAATAGATGTGTTGGCAAGATGCCTTTCTATGAAAGAAGTTGACTGTTTGAAAACAAAACAGTTATTAGAGTCTGCTTGCCTCTATTCTAAATCCTAGTTTATTATTACATACCTATAGATCTTGAAATAATGCAGTTTGATTTCTTGGTCTCTACTTGCAAGGATTTTTGGTGTTGCTCCTAGTCCATCTGCCTGGTTAGCACTCTCCTGATTATTTTCTCTTTTTTTTTTGCCAGTCCTGGGGCTTGAACTCAAGGCCTGGGCACTATCCCTGAGCTTTTGCTCAAGGCTAGCACTCTACCACTTGAGACACAACACAACTTCTGGCTTTTTTCTGTTTATCTGTTACTGAGGAATTGAACCCTGAGCTTCATACATGTTAGGCAAACACTCTATCACTAAGCCACATTCTCAGCCCAACTCTCTTGATTTAAAGCCACACTTCCAATGAGATCCAGATCATCCCATAATATCATTGTCATCATTTTTTTAACCACTTGAACTTGGGGTCTGAGTGCTATCCCTAAGTTTTTTCACACAAGGCTAAGCATTCAACCATTTGAACCACTTCTGTTTTTGTTTTGTTTTGTTTTCTGGTTAATTGGAGATAAGAGTCTCATGGACTTTCCTGCCTGGACTGGCTTCGAACTGTGATCCTCAGATCTCAGCCTGCTAAGTAGCTAGGGTTGTAAGTATGAGCCACTGGGATCCAGCTTAACTCAAACATTTTTTTTGGGGGGGGGGGCCAGCCATAGGGCTGTACTCTATGCCTGGGCGCTGTCCCTCCGCTAGCTCAAGGCTGGTGCTCTCCCACTTGAGTCACAGTGCCATTTCTGGCTTTTTCTGTTTATATGGTACTGAGGAATAGAACACAGGGCCTATGCATATGAGGCAAGCACTCTACCACTGAGCTACCTTCCCAGCCCTTTACCTCAAACTTTTAAAGATGGTTTTAACTTTAAATGTATCTCTTCAAGAACTTGATGTAATTAGGCAATTTACCCATCCTCCCTGTTGGAATTAATGACTACGAGGCTACTGGTTTAGCTATTGGTAAGGTATCTTTCTAAGGACAAAATAGTAAGATAGTCTGTTTTACAACCCTTTTTAAAATTCCAGTTGAATGAAAATGGAATTCCACACGAAAGAAACTTCACTCTACTTATTTAATCAAACTTTCCAAACAAATATTGCTTTCTGTTCCATTTTAAATTTCCTTGGAGTATCATTTAGGATTATGAGTTAGGATAAAAAAAATAATCCTGGATATTATCTCAAACCAAAGAACTAATTTTTATATATGCTTTTAAAAACTGAGCCCATCATCTTGAACTAGTACAAAGTGTGAAATTTCTATATGTAATGGTTTTTTAAATTGAGTAACAGAGAGCCAGAAGACAGTAGCATCCTTGCTATTCAGGAAGCCAAGATCTATACAATCTCATTTGAAAGCCAGCCCAGGCAGAAAATTCTAAGAGACTCTCCAAAATGCTAGGTGGAAGGCATAGCTCAAGTGATAGGAGTACCAGCCAAGCAAAGAAGCTAGGGAAGGAAGAGGTCCTAAGTTCAAATTCTGTGACAAGCAAAAAAAAAAAAATCTCAAGAATAAATTTTATATATTTTTTTACTATAAAAACATCAGGTTTGACTTTGCTACCACTGTGATATGTGTTTTTAAATCTCTAAAAATTAATGCCAGTTAACTGTGTTTGTTTTGATATGAATTTTATAGTCATATTGTTTTCCAAATTATTCTTTTCTTTTAAATCTTAGCATGAGCACCACAAAAGCAAATCCTAGCATGAGCACCACAAAATCAGCTCTTAGCGTGAGCACCACAAAATCAAATCTTCACATGAGCACTGCAAAATCAGATCTTAGCAAGAGCACCACAAAATCACAAGATGAAGATGTGGAGGAAGAACCTTCCACACAACCTACAAGTATTCAGGTAAATCATGGCAGCCACACAAAATACACTGCCAGGACCTTCCCAGAATGCTGCTGACATAGAACCCAAAGACGTATTGCACATGTTGTCTGTACTAACCTTGATTCAACTGTAGATGCAGTGGTTTGTGAAAGTCCTAAAATTGAATGAGAGGTCTCATTCTTTAAAAATTTCCTTGTTTTACTTCAGGTCCTCCAAGATCCCAAGAGTAGTGCACATGAAGAAGCTAAGGAACCAGTTCTGTTAGAAACAGAGGAAATGATCCCACAGGTGAAAAAGAGAACATACATTTCCTGTCCTCCACAAGGACCATTGAATAAAATAATTACAGACGGTATGTGAAATAAGAACTAGAATGACAAATACATATAGTGAAAAAATAAAAGACAAGAAAGCCACCTCTGTAAACGGCAGGTGATCAATGCTGTGGACAAAGAGAAAACGCTCCGTTAAGTCTTTCAACATCAAACCAATTTTGCTTAAGACATTTTCTATTTAAACTTTTCCATGTGTTCTTTTGTTAAATTATTAGGATTTGAAGCATCATTAATGATACATTTTTTTACAGATCTACTATGGTTGTTGGTGGTTGTAGGGCTTGAACTCCAGGCCTGGGTGCTGTCCCTGAGCTCTTCAGCTCAAGGCGAGCACTCTACCACTTGAGCCACAGCACCACTCCCCATTTTCTGGTGGTTAATTGGAGATAAGAGTCTCGTGGACTTTCCTGCCTGGGCTGGCTTTGAACCATGATCCTCAGATCTCAACCTCCTGAGTAGCTAGGATTGCAGACATGAGCCACTGATGCCCAGCGAGGCCTCAAAATTTTCAAAACAGCAGCAACCTTGTAAAAAGTTGTATAGAACTTGTGTTCCTCCTAAAAGTTTTATTGTTATAAGACACTTGTGATGGGCTGGGAATGTGGCTTAGTGGTAGAGTGCTTGCCTAGCATGCATGAAGCCCTGTGTTTGACCTCAATACCACATACGCAGAAAAAGCCAGAAGTGGTGCTGTGGCTCAAGTGGTACAGTGCTAGCCTTGAGCAAAAGAAGCTCAGGAACAGCACCCAGGCCCTAAGTTCAAGCCAGGACTGGCAAACAAGAAAAATATGAAGCTGTTTTCTTCTCAATATTCTGTATGATTAGACTAAAATATATTAGACTAGAATATGATATTAAAGTATGTTATTAGATTAAAATATTAGACTAAAATATGACAAAGTATAGTAATCTTTTATTATTCCATTCTTTGCTAACTTTAAACTGTTAAAAACAAATTATTTCTTTCCTTTATCTGTCATTAGTAAAGGTTGCTTTTTAAAATTAACATCAGTGTTTGAAAGGCCCTAAACAAGTCCTTATCTGCCCATGTAAATTATTGGACCCTGTTGTAAATATCCTTTCTGCACATAGATCTGACATATGTCCTCCATGATCCTACTTATTTAATGGACAGATTCTGTAGTTCATTTGCTAGGAACAGAGCCTTTCTTCTGTGGAGAGAAATATATTGATCACTAACAGTTATATAGCGTGTTGGACTACAGAAACTAAACCAATGGCTCTAAACGAAAAGCATCAAAACTTCCAGCTTCAAGGATAGGAGAGAGGGAGGGAAGGTTTGGCAAGAGCCACATAAATGGGGCAAATTGGATCAAAATGCATTCTACGCATGTTGCGGACATCACAATGAAAGCCCTTTGTACAATCAATATATGCTAATAAAAATAAATGGTTAAAAAGCACAAGGTTAGGTCTTCAACTCACTTCTCTGTTTTCTTTCATTTTTGATTTTACAGTTTTAAAGCCATTTGTAGAAAGAGATTTGGGGGTACATTTTCTTCTCTCTTTTCTCCTTTCTCTCAGGGACTTATATACCTACAAACATCCTAGGTTCATTTTGCACTTCCTCTTAGTATCTCAGTGCTTAGGACTTGGCCCTACCCCCGAAGCCCACTCTGCTTCATCCTGTAATAAGTGCCGTGCATCCATGTACAAATAGGATCCAACAATTAAAGAAAGCCCCAAAAGGAGCAGATTCTGCAAAAAGGAGGTCACACTGCCGTTTCTGTACAAGTGACAGTTAACTTGCCAATCCCACAGACGTACACAAGAAATCTGAACTCTGAACTCCCAACCGGACACGTGTGGAAACCAGTCTCATCGTGTTTAATCTCACCACATTTGGGAGGTAGCTTGCCTAGCAAAATGGATATTCTTGGGTGAGAGGTTTAGATTTGAGGCTATTATTCCTCTGTGTGTAAGAGAGAGAGAGAATGGGGGGAGCAACTAGGGCTTGAACCCAAGTTTTCCTCCTCTCACTCAGCTTTTCTGCACAAGGCTGGCATTCTACCACTTGAACCACACCCCCAGTTCCAGCTTTTGCTAATTAATTTGAAATGGAATCTCTAGGACTTCTGCCCAAACAGCCTTCGAACCTCAGATCTCAGCCTCCTAAGTAGCGAGGATTATATGCGTGAGCCACAAATGCCTGGCTTTTAACCTAGTTTCAATCAAAGTAACAGCATATTTGTATGTAGCTGTTTTCCTTTGAAGCAAATAAAATTAAAATCTTCTTATTCATCCAGACATCATTTTATACATAATCACAAAGCTGAATTTATCTACTAAAAATTGCTAGTCCCATTAAGGGACTTCCCAGACAGAGAGACACAGAAATGTAACTTGCCGTAGAAATCTCTGTGGGAAGCAGCGCAGAGTGAGAAAGTCTGAATTGTAACCAACAAATGGGCTAAGACTTTGTGTGGACAAGCATGAGAGTCAAACCCTCAGGAAGGAGCCATGTCATGGACCAAGAAAGGCCCACTCTTCTATAACTTGGATCTTCCAGAGAGGAGGAGAGTGTACTCATTGTGAAATAGGCCACACCATGTTATGCCCATCTCCTTAAGATGGAATTGGGAAGCTGTAGAATACAAACTCCTCCAGCCAGTTCTTACTACCACATTCTTCATTGCTTCCTGACACCATACTTTTCAGTGCTATGTTGTACTCCTTTCTATTTTGTATTGTACTCCTTTAAATATTAATTTAAAGATATATGAAAAGGTAAAAAGAGTTCCAAGAGAGAAGGTGAACATCACCAATGGACCCAAATACATTAGAGAGGTCAGAATTATCAGACAGTTAAAAGAACTAGCTAGCCAGATGCTGGTGGCTCACACCCATAATCCTAGCTACTCAGGAGACCGAGATCTAAGGATCAAGGTTCAGAGCCAGGCTAGACAGACAAAACCAGAGATTTAACTGGAGAGTTAGCCAGCAAAAATCAGAACCAGGGGTATGGCTTAAGTGGTAGAGTTACTACCTAAAATAACTAAACCTTAAGCACGTTTTCCAAGAATAAATAAATGCCTCTTAATTTGGTAACTAACTTTGGCCAATTTTCTGGATCTTGAAAGATCATTTTTAACAACTTTGTGCAATCTGACAAGTATTGTTTTCTTCTTTAGCATGGAAATATATTGCCAACCTGTTTGTCACCTTGCTGTAATACTTCCTCATCTAATTAGTACATTCCCTGATGAGCCATTTTCATTAGTAATGTGTTAGATGACAATACTTATGTAGACTAAACTACATGTGCAGAGATTTCTGTCTACGCCATTCTTCCCCTTTTGACTCTTATGTTCGATTTCTAAAATGTATCTTTCCACAGGTTTTCCTGCTGTAAAAAAAAAATAGTGGTTCTTAGGTGTATTTGAAATTATGTTCAAATTATTCTTTGTTTGAAAGACAGTTAAAGTATCCACAGAAAGCAAGAAGATTCCTAAGTAAAACTCAGAGTAGATTCTCATTTCTCAAAAATGTCAGCAGAGAGGGACAGCACCCAGGCCCAGAGTTCAGGCCCCACAATCAGACCCAAAAAAAAAAAAAAAATGTCAGCAGACTCTAGAAGAAAACAAGCCTAGTGTGGTGACTCAAGTTTGTAATCCCAGCTACTAGGGAGGATTATGGCTTAAAGCCAATCTGAGCAAAAAGTTACAAAGACCTCATCTCAACCCATTAGTTGGGTGTGCTATCATTCTAGCTAAGTGAAGGCATAATAGGAGGATCAAAATCCAGGCTGGCCAAAGTAAAAATGCAAGACTTTCTCTGAAAAATAACTAAAGCAGAAAGGACTTGGAGTAGGATTGTGGCTTGAGTGGTAGACTGACAAGTAAGCACATTCAAACTCTAGTAAGAACAAAATGAAAAGAAAGAAGTCAGACATTATAAGAAATGCTTACCACCTTAAAGAATCCATACAGAGTTTAAAAAAATACAGAGTTTCAATAAAAATGCTTTGTTAAAAATTTGTCCTCAAGCCGGGTGCTGGTGGCTCACACCTGTAATCCTAGATACTCAGCATGTTGAGATCTGAGGACTGCGGTTCAAAACCAGCCCAGGCAGGAAAGTCGGTGAGACTTTTATCTCCAATAAACCACTCAGAAAACCAGAAGTGGTGCTGTGGCTCAAGTGGTAGAGCACTAGACTTGAGCTGAAGGGCTGAGGGACAGCGCCCAGGCCCAGAGTTCAAACCCCACAACCACCAACAACAAAAAAACGGTCCTCAAAATTAACAGGGTCTTTGGGATATATGTTAAACAACTATTTTTTCAACCATAGTATTAAGCAATATTAGTTATTACTACATATAACTACTTAAGATTGGCTATTAGCATTTTTTATAAAATAGAATCCATCTTGTTTACATATGTCTACTCCTATATAGATTATAGATTTATGGTTGCTTTTCTGTTTCAGGAATTATATTCATTTTGATATGGGGTATATTGTGGACACTCTCAGGCCATGAAGTACTTCCTGGTGGAAATTTATTTGCACTGCTAGTTATTTTTTGTAGTGCGTTTCTTGGGGGCAAACTTTTGCAACTCATTAAAATACCTACAGTTCCTCCACTCCCCCCTCTTCTTGGTAAGTACATAGCTCACTCTGTTCTGAGCTGTTGAAGATCCACCATTTTCCATTTGGACTAGATATAATTCAAAATATCTCCATTTTAATGTATATATATATATTCTATAGAGCTTCTTCGTACATATGGTTACCCCCTATATGTGTATTTATCTATAGCTATATATATGTATACGTCTATATATCTTTTACAGATTATACCCTATGTAAACACCCTTTTTTTTTACCAAATCTATTCTAAAAAAGAATTTTAATATCCTCAATCTGTGATTGGTGTGGCTTTGTCATTTAACACATTTTGCTTTTTCCTTGACTTAAAATGTATTCTAAGGAAAAAGAAAAGTTTACAATAGAGCATTTTGGGGTAGATGGAATTAGCAGAATATGATTGGAAGTTCAGAGATGAGGATGATAAGGGCACCAAACTGTCCGGTGATGCTTGAGTCAGCTGCACGGGTGTCCTCCATGTACAATAATGGATGCCTCATCTACCTGGCCTGTGGCATACACTGTTTCTTGACCACCAATGGTCTATGATTCTCCAGCTGCTCACAAGAAAGCTAGGAAGGGTGCTTAGCATGCTCATAATACCCTTGCCATGGACTGGATCTCCTTCCTCTCAAAAACTTTGTGTTTGCTGAGGCTTAGAGGCTGTTTCCAGCTTTTGCATCTGTCTCCAGTGTCATCTTTGTCTGATGCACAAAGAAAGGGCCACAATATCACTTCTTCCTTAGAACCCTCTCATGCAGAGGGGACTCGGATCCTGCCAAAGGGGAAGGGGAATTTTCTGTGATCATACCCCCCTCCCACCTCCCAGCTCATTCTCCTTACCCCTACCCAGGCCCTTCAAGTCCCATTTCATTACTTGCATTGCATTTACATGCATTGTTTCTAATCTTTGTCCATTATGTATGCTGATGCCTCTACTAGTATGTAACTTGCCCTTGTCCTGGAATATTAATCTCTCTCTCTCTCTCTCCTCCCTTTCTTCCTCCTTCCCTTCCATCCACTCTCCATTCTTCTTTCTTTTCTTTTCTTTCCTCCCTCCCTCCCTTCCTTCTTTTTCTTTCCCCTTTTCCACTTTTAGGGATGTTACTGGCTGGCTTTCTCATCAGGAACATTCCTTACATCAGTACCTACGTCCATGTTCAAGCCACGTGGTCTTCAACTTTACGAATCACGGCCCTTACCATTATCTTAATGAGAGCTGGGCTCGGACTCGATCCAGAGGTAGATTTCCCATTCTAGTTTGATTAAGTTCTTTAAAGTATTAGGAGCTGGTCAGAAAGAGGTAGAATTCTGTTATACGTGTTCCACAGGTAATCTGTAAAGAAAGGTAAGCTAAAGAAGAAACACCTGGCAGAAATGCTGGCAACTTAGCTTCTGTTTCAAGTAATCATTAGTATATGTGCAAAGAAAAAGCACCCGGATGTGACACTTCTGTGATCATCTATAATTGTTTGTGTGGAGATAGATGTCCCTTCCACAGTACCAATCTTACTTGGGAGGCTTTTCCATGGGAAACTACTTACTTTGCTATGATCAAAACATGAGGTCACTCAGTAAAAGACTTTTACTCTTTTTTTTTCCTTAAAGGAGCTTAAGAATGTCAATATGATATTTGTTTCATAACTTTTTGTCCATAGAACTATGTTTCCCATTATTTTTGCTCCCTGGTAAACATCGCATCTAAAAATATTTTTAATATTGTGATTTAGGCATCATAAATGTATTTGAGTTTTGAGAGGATGAAAATAATAGATATTTATGAATATAATACAACTCAACTAAATGTAGCAAATGTCTGGGTTGAATGGAGCTACTATCATGAGGGCATATATAATTGTAAGAAATAATAGTCTATATTCTCCTGTGGAAAATCAGAACCACTGAGAAGATTGAAAAGTTCTTCCTTTTCAAATTAGTTGTACAATTTTTAAGTTACTATCTTTCTTTGTCCTGATGCCATTTTCTACTTAAAATTTTGAATTAATCAAATAGTTCATCACTAAAAGCTCACTGGTAGGTTAAAAAAAAGCCCAACAGACTATTAACTTTATACTATGCATTAGATAAATTAGAGAAGATAGAGATTGTTAATGGGAAAGAAATGAATCTTTTAATATTATTTCAGCACTTTATGAAGTATGAAATTGTAATTGAACTTAGGATGAAACATAAAATGAGCTTTATGTAAGTTTCAATCTCTGTAGGATAATATGCCAAATGAGATTAAGTTTAATGATAATAATAAAGTTAATTACTCAAAAAAGACTAAATGTTGGTGTTTGCTTAAGTAACACTCTTGTTGGGCTTCGTAAGTGTATCTAAGTATGACCTTCTATCTTTCAGGTTTTGAAGAATTTGAAGACAGTTTGTTTAAGGTTGTCTTTCGGTCCATGCATCACAGAGGCATGTTCAGCTGCTATTTTTTCCCACTTCATTTTGAAATTTCCTTGGAAATGGGGATTTCTATTAGGGTAATTTTTTCCTTCGCCCTTCATGAACATACTCCATTCAGGATGCTTGGTTTAAAAGTATGGAAGTTTGCCAGGCGCTGATGGTTCACGCCTGTAATCCTAGCTACTCAGGAGGCTGAGATCTGAGAGTCATGGTTCAAAGCCAGCCCAGGGCTGAAAAGTTCGTGAGACTTTTATCTCCAATTAACCACCAGAAAACCAGAAGTGGCATTGTGGCTCAAGTGGTAGAGTGCTTGCCTTGAGCTGAAGAGTTCAGGGACAGCGCCCAGGCCTAGACAAGTCCCACAACTGACAAAAAAAAAAAAAAAAAGTATAGAAATTTAAACTGGGCATCAGTGGCTCATGCCTGTAAGCCTAGGTATCCAGAAGGCAGGATTTGAGGATCATGGTTCAAAGCCAGCTGGGGCAGGAAAGTCTGTGAGACTCTTACTTGTAATTAGCCACCAAAAAGCCAGAAGTAGGCCATTGATCAAGTGGTGGAGCACTGGCCTTGAGCAAAAGAAGCTCAGGGACAGTGCCCAGGCCCTGAGTTGAAGCCCTAGGACTAGCACAAAAATAAAAATAAAATTCAATAACTAGAGAAAACATGTTTGGAGGAATGCCTCAACTAATAGAGCATCAGCCTTGTAAGGACAAGGCTCTGAGTTCAAACCCCAGTACTGAAAAGGAAAAGAAAAGAGTATCTGAGACAGTTTGCTAATCTACCATATTCAACTGATTCTTGTGATATCCACCTGTAATTCCAGCACTTTGGAGCCTGAGACAGGAAAGCCATGGGCTACATAGTGAAATCCTATCTTAAAATAAATCCACCGTATTCTTGCCAAACATTGATAGTTCTTAAATGTACAATGTTCATGTAATCTAGTTCCTCCATGTAGTCCTCTTCAGCTATATTTTATCTTAGTAAGTGGACTCTTTTTCATACACTATTTGTAGGAGTATATATGTAAGCACACAAGAGAGATTTTATAGCTATGTAAATAAAAAATTTTAAAAAGGCAATGAAAAAAATGCAAAAACTCCCTAAAATCAGTGCACCAACACTTTCACCACCCACTTCCCTTTTATCCTAGTTCGTCAGCTCTGGAGGTGAAGGGACAGTTCTGGTCTTCCTCCGTGCCTTGGGATGCATTTCTGGTGTACATCGCTTTAAGGTTTCCTTTGCAATCTGTATTCATGATGTATGTATGTAGGCTCCCATCTGGTAACACACATCTGTCACAGTGATTACTTCTTCCAGAACTGAACTATCCTGAAAAGATCTCAGCATTTAATGTTGCACTCATTAGAATAACATGAAGAGTTGACTTCCACAGTCAGTATGTTTCAAAACCAGCAGCAATATCTTAGCTATGATTAATTTCCTTAATCCTCACAAGAGCCGTGACTAGGTAGACACTATTATCTCCATATTTACAAATAAAGAGAAGTTAAGTGGTTTTCCCAAGGTCAGACAACTACTAAGTTGTAGAACTGAGATTGACAGCAGTGTTCTGGCTCGGTTTGAAGCATCCCAATGTTTACCTTGTGCTGCCTATATCTTTTTCTCCTCTATTTCATATTGTGTTCTCTTTAAACTTATGAGTGAATATAGTTAATCTTCTGAATGTTTGAAAATGACTTGTAGTAACTGAGCATTGAATGGTCCGCTCAAAATTGTTTTCCCCCAATGCTTCAAAGATACCACTGGCTTCTCGTGGCCTTATTCTTTCCCATGAGAAATTGGCTACCAAACTTAATTTTCAAAGTCTCTTTAGGTAATTGATTTCCTTCTTCTTGGAATCTTGGTTACATGACTGTTTTGGTTTGTTTTTAGTAAAGTGTTTCTTATTACCCCCTTATGCATTTACTCATCTCCTAAAAGCTAGCTGGAAATTCAGAAGTTTGGGCTCCATCCTAGATCTTTTTGATTCAGAACCTGCTTTCTAACAAGACCCTTCCTTATGAAACTTGTTTACTTATTAAACTGTGAAAATAATAGTCTCTGATAGTTTTGTTAATGAATATTTTCAGCTATATGGGAGAGTGGAGAAAACAATACAAAAACATGCAAACACCCTTTACTTAGAATTAACACTTCATAAAGAATCGTAAGTCAAATGATTACATGACATTTTACCCTTGTATTCCTCAATATCTGTCTCCAAACAACAGAGCCAATTTTCTAACTTATCTTCCTGCTTAATTGTTCAGCACACTATTTGGAGGAATCTTTCAATCAAAAGATTGTTAGAGCTCTTTCTCCTCCTCCGTCGTCGTCGTTGTCTCCTCCTCCTCCTCCTCTTCCTCCTCCTCCTCCTCCTCCT